CACCCCACACCCCCACACCCCCACCCCCACCCCTTAGAAGGGCTAGGGGCTTGGAACCACCAACCTTTTGATTAGCAGTTCAATGCTTTAACCACAGCACCACCAGGCTCCTTACATATGCATTACAAAGACCAAAATTTAGAAGAGAATACTAACTGTTGAGTTTGTGGAGCAACTGGACTGTTCCTACGCTGTGGGTGGGAATGCAGAATGGTACAACCACTTTGGAAAACAGTTTGTCTTTTCTTATAATTGTACTTAACATATGACCAGCAATTAAGAAAATATGTATCCGCACAAAGAACTGTACATTAATGTTTATAGCAGTTTTATTCATAACAAAAATGAAAACAGTCCATCAGCTGGTAGAAGATTAAACGACTTGTGGCAAATACTAATTCTCATTAAAGAGATGAACTGCTTGTATTGGAACAACATGAAAGAAGCTCAAAAACATGTGCTGAAGAAACCAGACAGAAAAGAATATATGAAACTCTGAAAAAGACTAATCTATAGGGACAGAAACTAGATGAGTGGTTTGCCTGGGGATGGTGAGAGCACTGATTAGAATATGGCTGGCTTATTTGAAATGATGGAGATATTTTGTATCTTGACTATGGCTGTAGTTAAATGAGTGAATATTTGTAAAAACTCATTAAAAAACCATTTGTTTCTGAGAAAGAGAAGTTAATGACATTCAAGATATTTAATAGTGTTTTTAAAATGACATTTTAGACAAAGATAGATTATATGATGAGTTGATGGATGCAAAAGAGCTTACTGACAATGAGCTGGACTACCAAAACAATACAGAATAGATGGTTGTTTTGGAAAGCTAGAAAAGAATTCCTAACTCCTGTTGTTGCTGGTAAGTAAAATCCAAAGTATTACATGCTTCAACACTTATGTCAAGAGAATATTTTGCATGTTGCTTTTACATGGTACTGACACCAAGAACCAATGTAATTAGTGTGTTTGATAAGCACAGAGCTGCAAGTCAAAGTGAATTTTACATTTGACTGTGTTCAATTTTACCATTACATAAAAGAATATTCCAAAAGCTGCAGACAATTCAAACAAGTGTTTTTAGAAAATGAAACTGAAAAAGTAAAAATAACCTACTGAATGGTGGGACAGAAAGGAACAAGATATAGTTGTTATTTTTTTTATTATATATAGGTAATATCTGTTAATGTGTCCTATTATAATTACATTCTCATTTTTAAAGTCTTTTATGTATCTTAAGAATATAATAAAGAGTTATGAAAAATTAAAATAATTGCTCTATCAGAGAATAATTATACATATATGATGTTGAATATATATGTAATGTTTATAATTTATCAGCATTATAAAAATATTGGTCTATGTTTCTCACATGTTTTTTAATTAGTCACTGCTACTATTAATTGCTAAGGACCTCTGGTAACATAGTGGGTAAGGCATTTGGCTGTTAACCAGAAGATCAATAGTTCAAGAGCACCAGCTGCTCCATGTGAGGAAGATAAGGCAATCTACTTCCATAAAGATTTCTAACCTTGGAAACCCTATGGGATGGTTATACTCTCTCCTATAGGATCACTATAAGTTAGAATCAACTCTATGGCACTGGTATATAGTATTATGGGTTCTTTTTAGCTGGTATAGTTGAGTCCCTGTGCTGGGTCTCTAAAAAGATGCCCATCCTACTTCATTAAGAGAATGTACCATCATTATCCAACCAATTCTCTATTCATGTTCATTTAGATCGTATCCAAGCTTTTATTATTAAAAAATAGTACTACCATGAATAACTACATATGCCTTTTCATAGTTCTGCGAGTGTATGTTTTGACTACATACCTGTGAGCAGAATATTGGGGTCAAAATGTACATGAATATATAATTTTGCTATTGTCACCTCCATAAGAAGCTCTGATGGTACAGTGGTTAAGGCATTCAGCTGATAACAAAAATGCCAGTGGTTCAAACCCACCACATGCTCCATGGGAGAAAGATGAGGCAGTTTGCTTCCTTAAAGATCTATGGTTTTGGAAATCCTATGGGGGTAGTTCTACTCTGTCCTATAGGGTCACTATGAGTCAGAATCGATGAGATGGCAGTGGGTTTTGTTCTTTTGGATTGCTATTTCCATAGTTTCTTTGATTTTCCATTTCCTCCAGCAATATGTGAGGGTGCTCATTTTGTTATAGCCTTGTCAATACATTATGTAGTTGAACTTAGAGTCTTTACAAACTGGTAAGCCAAAAAAATGGTATCACAGTAGTTTTCGTTTAGTTTTATTTTCCATGTTCTTCTTATGAGAGAACTGAAGAATCTTTTATCTTATAAGGGACATTTACATATCTTTTTCTGTAATCTATTTGTTAATATCTCTAGCCCATTTTTCTATAGAAATACTGATCTTTTTTATAAAAAATTTTTATTTTGTTGACTTTTTCTATTTATCACAAAATTATTTTTCAATCAAATTTATCAATAAAGATGTTGTTTAGAACTATAGATATTGAAAGCTCAGAGGAAGATGGTGTCAAGAGAGCAGCAGGCTCAAAACTGAGTTCTGAGAAATCTCAACACTTAGAGATCAACTAGTGGGACAGGCCCTAGTAAAGGACTCTGAGCAGGAGAAAAACTAGAGATGTTTCCTTCAATGAATCAGAGAGAGACATTAACTTCCATTATCCCCTTTATAACAACACATGACATAATGTAACTTACAGCTTTTTTGTTTTCCTTGTTAAAAAAAAAAAATTCAAACTCACTTTTATAAACAGTTTTCAAGCAAATTCCTAGCACTTACCAATATGTGCCACCACTGGTCTGTCAGATTGTAGTACAGTGATGGCTCGCATATTGCTGTGAGGCTGGAGCCTATACCACCAGAGTTTCAAATACTAGCAGAGTCACCAACGGTGGACAGCCTCAGAAAAAGAAACAGGCCATCCACTTTTAAAAGAATTGGCCAGTGAAAATGTTATGAATAGCAATGAAACTCTATCTGATATATTACTGGAAAACTTGATGAATAGCCCCAAAACATTGTCCCACATAGTGCTGGAAGATGAGCCCGCAGGTGGGATGGCACTTAAAATACTACTGGGGAAGAGCTGGCTCCTCAAAGTAGAGTCGACCTTAATGACATGGATGAAGTAAAGCTTTCAGGGCCTGCATTTGCTGATGGGGCAC